GGGTACCTTGAAAAGTTTAATGGAGATTCAGTCCTCCCTGAAATACCAGGGGGAGGGATAGCTCAGTGGGTTGAGCATTGGCCTGCTAAACCCAGGGTTTTGAGTTCAATCCTTGAGGGGGCCATTCTGTGAAGCAGTTGTTTTTGTTTCTCCTTGATGTAAAGCCACCCCCTTTGTGGGTTTTAATTCCCTGTAAGCCAACCCTGTAAGCCATGTTGTCAGTCGCCCCCTCCCTCCGTCAGAGCAACGGCAGACAATCGTTCCACTCCTTTTTTCTGTGCAGACGCCATACCACAGCAAGCATGGAGCCCGCTCAGATCACTTTGGCAATTAGGAGCACATTATACACCACACGCATTATCCAGCAGTATATGCAGCACCAGATCCTGGCAAAGTGCAACCGGGCAAGTAGGCGACGTCAGCGCGGTGACGGGAGTGATGAGGACATGGACACAGACTTCTCTCAAAGGACGGGCCCTGGCAATGTGGGCATCATGGTGGTAATTGGGCAGGTTCACGCGGTGGAACGCCAATTCTGGGCCCAGGAAACAAGCACAGACTGGTGGGACCACATAGTGTTGCAGATCTGTGACGATTCCCAGTGGCTGCGAAACTTTCACATGCATAAGGGCACTTTCATGGAACTTTGTGACTTGCTTTCCCCTGCCCTGAGGTGCAAGAATAACAAGATGAGAGCAGCCCTCACAGTTGAGAAGCAAGTGGCAATAGCCCTGTGGAAGCTTGCAACGCCAGACAGCTACCAGTCAGTTGGGAATCAATTTGGAGTGGGAAAATCTACTGTGGGGGCTGCTGTGATGCAAGTAGCCAACGCAATCAACGATCTGCTGATATCAAGGGTAGTGACCCTAGGAAATTATGTGCAGGTCATAGTGGATGGCTTTGCTGCAATGGGATTCTCTAACTGTGGTGGGGCCATAGATGGAAACCATATCCCTATCTTGGCACCAGAGCACCAAGCCGGCAAGTACATGGACTGCAAGGGGTACTTTTCAATGGTGCTGCAAGCACTGGTGGATCACAAGGGACATTTCAGCAACATCATCGTGGGATGGCCGGGAAAGGTACACGACACTCGCATCTTCAGGAACTCTGGTCTGTTTCAAAAGCTGCAGGAAGGGACTTTATTCCCAGACCAGAAAATAACTAATGGGGATGTTGAAATGCCTATAGTTATCCTTGGGGACCCAGCCTACCCCTTAATGCCCTGGTTGATGAAGCCGTACACAGGAAGCCTGGACAGTAGTCAGGAGCTGTTCAACTACAGGCTGAACAAGTGCAGAACGGTGGTAGAATGTGCATTTGGGTGTTTAAAAGTGCGCAGGCGCAGTTTACTGACTCAGTTAGACCTCAGCAAAACCAGTATTCCCACTGTTATTACTGCTTGCTGTGCGCTCCACAATATCTGTGAGAGTAATGGGGAGATGTTTATGGTGGGGTGGGAGGTTGAGGCAAATCACCTAGCCACTGGTTACATGCAGCCAGACACTAGGGCGGTTAGAAGAGCACAGGAAGGTGTAGTGTGCATCAGAGAAGCTTTGAAAACCAGTTTCATGACTGGCCAAGCTATGGTGTGAAAGTTCTATTTGTTTCTCCTTGATGAATCCCCCCCACTTGGTTCACTCTACTTCCCTGTAAGCTAACCACCCTCCCCATCCCTGCTTCGATCACCGCTTGCAGAGGCAATAAAGTCATTGTTGCTTCACATTCATGTGTTCTTAGGTGTCTGGATGAGGAGGCTATGGAACTTGAGGAGGAGGGTAGCTGGTTACACAGGGGCTGTAGCGGCCGTCTGTGCTCCAGCTGCCTTTCCTGCAGCTCAACCATATGCTGGAGCATATTAGTTTGATACTCCAGCAGCCTCAGCATTGAATCCTGCCTCCTCTCATCATGCTGCTGCCACCTTTCAGCTTCAACCCTCTCTTCAACCCTCCACTTATTCTATTCAGCCTGCCACCTCTCCTCCCGTTTTGTGCTTTCCTGCACTATGACATTGTCTGCCTCCACACATTCGTCTGTGCTCTGTCAGTGTGGGAGGACAGCATGAGGTCAGAGAACATTTCATCACGAGTGCGTTTTTTTTTTTTTTTTGCCTTCTAATCTTCACTAGCCTCTGGGAAGGAGAAGATCCTGTGATCCTTGAAACACATGCAGCTGGTGGAGAAAAAAAAGGGACAGTGGTATTTAAAAAGACACATTTTATAGAACAATGGGTACACTCTTTCATGGTAAACCTTGCTGTTAACATTACATACATAGCACATGTGCTTTTGGTACAAGGTCACATTTTGCCTCCCCCCACCACGTGGCTATCCCCTCACCCCTCCCCGTGGCTAACAGCAGGGAACATTTCTGTTCAGCCAAAGGCACACAGCCCAGCAGGAATGGGCACCTCTGAATGTCCCCTTAAGAAAAGCACCCTATTTCAACCAGGTGACCATGAATGATATCACTTTCCTGAGGATAACAAAGAGAGATAAAGAATGGATGTTGTTTGAATGCCAGCAAACATACACTGCCATGCTTTGTTATGCAATGATTCCCGACTCTGTGCTGCTGGCCTGGAGTGATAAAGTGTCCTACCATGGTGGACGGAATAAGGTTGCCCTCCCCAGAAACCTTTTGCAAAGGCTTTGGGAGTACCTCCAGGAGAGCTTTATGGTATGGAGATGTCCCTGGAGAATTTCCACTCCATCACCAGACACGTTAACAGACTTTTCCAGTGGCTGTACTGGCCGCGAATGCCAGGGCAAATTAATCATTAAACACGCTTGCTTTTAAACCATGTATACTATTTAAAAAGGTACACTCATCAGAGGTCCCTTCTCCGCCTGGCAGGTCCAGGAGACAGCCTTGGGTGAGTTCGGGGGGTACTGGCTCCAGGTCCAGGGTGAGAAACAGTTCCTAGCTCTCAGGAAAACCGGTTTCTCTGCTTCCTTGCTGTGAGCTATCTACAGCCTCATCATCATTATCTTCCTTGTTCCCCAAACCTGCTTCCGTGTTGCCTCCCTCTCCACTGAAGGAGTCAAACAACACGGCTGGGGTAGTAGTGGCTGAACCCCCTAAAATGGCATGCAGCTCATCATAGAAGCGGCATGTTTGGGGCTTTGATCTGGAGTGGCCGTTCGCCTCTCTGGTTTTCTGGTAGGGTTGCCTCAGCTCCTTAAGTTTCACGCAGCACTGGTTCGGGTCCCTGTTATGGCCTCTGTCCTTCATGCCCTGGGAGATTTTGACAAAGGTTTTGGCATTTCGAAAACTGGAACGGAGTTCGGATAGCACGGATTCCTCTCCCCATACAGGGATCAGATCCCGTACCTCCCGTTTGATCCTTGCTGGAGCTCTTTTGCGATTCTGGGACTCCATCATGGTCACCTCTGCTGATGAGCTCTGCACTCACCTGCAGCTTGCCACGCTGGCCAAACAGGAAATTGAAATTCAAAAGTTCGAGGGCCTTTTCCTGTCTACGTGGCCAGTGCATCTGAGCTGAGAGCGCTGTCCACAGCCGTCACAACGGGGCACTGTGGGATAGCTCCCGGAAGCCAATACCGTCTAATTGTGTCCACAGTACCCCAAATTTGACCTGGCAAGGCCGATTTCAGCACTAATCACCTTGTTGAGGATGGAGTAAAGAAATCGATTCTAAGAACCCTTTAAGTTGAAAAAAAGGGCTTCATCTTGTGGACGGGTGCAGGCTTAAATCGATTTAACGCTGCTAAAGTCAACCTCAACTCCTAGTGTAGACCAGGGCTTAGACCCCATATGAAACTTTCTACATAGTGGAGATGAGTAACTCATGTCATCTTGGATGTAAGTGTAAGCAGAGTCAGGATGAAACCTACCCTGACATCTGGTGGTGAGTTGTTGCAGGTTGTGGAAAAGAACTTCAGGGGCTGTTCTCATTTGCATAGGCACACCCACCCCACCTAGATGGTCATTTTGGCTGCTATGGGATCCCTAGTTATTGGGGCAGGAAGAATAAAGTGTTATTATCCTGATTATGTGAATCAAGTACAGTGGAACTGTACTTGGCTTTTTGTTATGATAGAGGGACTCACCATCAACTGCGTAGCACTTTCTAGGAAAGGGACATAGGTTCCAAAACTCAGTGAGGGGAGAGAGGTTGGGGGCAGCTATTTGTACCTTGTGGTATGGGACCCTTGTGAGGTCTCTAATGCCAACTGTACTGTCTTCTCTCTCCACTGTGTAATAACAGAGCTAATTTTGATTCTATTAGGAGTCTAGTTACAGATTGCAGAGCTGAATTCACTTTGAGCCAATAGTGCACCAGCACTGGGACTTCCCTACTATAAGCTGAAATCACTGAGTACTGTGTTAAAAGTAACAGGGGGCCTGAAGGTAATTGGCGAGTGGCTCACAGAACTCCTACTGGAGAGGAGCAGCTGGCGGAGTGGCGAGCAGGAGGAGCAGCTGGTGGTGAGGGCTGCAGCAGAAACCCACAGAGAGGCGGGGCAGTCGACTGTTGGAGCATGTAAAGTGTGCCTTTACTCCCCCCCCCATTTCAGCACATGTGTGGTGGGGTTCAAACAGTGCAGATGAACTTTTGAACTCTGGACTCACCAAGGACAGAGACAGAGACATTTGGGTTGCTGGACTTTGGGGTTGTTGGACTTTGGGGGATTTTTGGGTTGCTGGCCTCAAGAACCAAAGGGAAAGGACATGGCCCAATTTGCTTGGGGTGGGTTTTTTCTCATGGGTTGTGTTATGAATCCTGTTGGTGGTGTTTCTCCAACATAATGCCACATTGTTTCTCTCTGTTATTAAAAGACTTTTGCTACACTCACACTCTGTGTGGGCGAGAGGGGAAGTATTGCCTCTTAAAGGCACCTGGGGGGGGAGGTGGTATATATTTGTCCCAGGTCACTGGATGGGGGCTTGAGCTGGTTTTGCATTGTGTTATTGGAATGGAACCCCTAGACACAGAACCTGGCCCTGGTTGCTGCCAACTCTGACTGGCAGAAGGGTTACATATGGGTCCAGGATGGAATAGGTGGATCATGTTTTTTGTCTCCCATGTCACTAGAACCAGGTGGTGAACTGACCCTTCTCTTGATGAATATCCTGATTATCCTCAGACGAAGGTGTTTGATTTTCATGCTGTACACAATTGGGTTCATCAGTGGTGGGAGAAGCAGGGCGATGTAGCCCAGGAGAATCTGAAGTAAGGGATAAGAGCCCTTCCCAAAGCTGTGTATCACAGTCAAGCTGATCTCTGGTGTGTAGAAGAGAAGGAGGGCGCAGAGGTGGGAGACACAGGTGTTCAGGGCTCTCAGGCACTCCTTGTGGGATGTGATGCTCAGCACTGTTTTGAGGATCATCACATAAGAGAGAAAAATGAGCAGCGAGTCCAACCCCATTGTTAAGAGTTTAGTAAACAATCCATAGATGATATTGACTGTGATATCCAAACAAGCCATTGTCATGACCTCCCGGTGCATGCAGTAGGAATTGAAGAGGACATTGGCTCGACAGTATCTGAACCGTTTCAGGAGAAAGGGAAGTGGAAGTATTATGACCATTGCCCTTAGCACAGCCACCAGTCCCATCTTGGCTATTCTTGGCAGGGTTAAGATGGAAGCATATCTCAGCGGGTTACGGATCGCAATGAAGCGGTCAAAGGCCATCAACAAGAGCAGGGAGGATTCAGTGCACTGAAGCAAGTGGATGAAGAAGAGCTGAGCTAAACAGGCATCGAGGCTGATCTCCCTAGAGTTAAACAAGTATATGCCCAGTATCGTCGGTATGGTGGTTATCGATATGCCAAGGTCTGTGATAGCCAACATGGAAAGGAAAATGTACATGGGCTCATGGAGGCTTGGATCTGTTTTTACAATAAACAGAATGACTGAATTTCCTACTATTGAAATAACATACATGAAGCAGAAGGGGATAGAAATCCAGAGATGTGCGTCTCTATGACCGGGTAGCCCGGAGAGAAGGAATATTACAGATTTTAATTTGGTGTCATTGACAGCAGACATATTGTACTGGGCAGGTGCGAGGAGTTCTGAAATGTCCTTCCTAAAAGAAAAATAAGAGGAGATTAGATGATATTTAGCAAGAAATCATTCTGCTCTCAGTGCATGTTTACAGACTCCCAGAGCTCAAGGTAGATAAGCAAAAACATACTGTTGGATTTACATAGTTCTGATTAGTCAGACTGGATCAGGCTTGTAGTCCATCTCCCAGAGTAACCAGTGGCCATGTCCAGATGCTTCAGAGGAAGGTAGAAGAAGTCCTGAATTATGCTGTGATGAGATAACCTGCTCCCAGGGAGTTTCCCCCTGACACCCACTAGATAGATATGTTTTGTGGTGTAAATCAGGAAGGTTTAGAGCCTCTCCAAAACTTTTTTAAAACAATCCTCTCTACTGTAATTGGATTTTCTGATTACTCAGTCCCTCTTTGAATCCTGCTAAGCTCTTGGCCCCATTGATATCTTGTGGCTGTGAATTCCACAGCCTACTTGAGCACAGTATGATTTTACCATTGTGACCTTAGAACATACAAACATAAGAATGCCCATACTGGGTGAGACGAAGGGTCCATCTAGCCTAGTATCTATCTTCGACAGTGACTTATGCCAGGTGCCCCAGAGGGAATGAACAGAACGGTCATCATCAAGTGATCCATCATCCATTAATTTATGTAGTTCTCCTTTGAACTCTGTTATACCCTTCACACAGACACCCTTTCTGGCCCTGCACTTCTGCGTGTGGCCCCTTGTGTCATGCCATCTGTATAAATACATGCAAGTTCATGGTGAAAACAGTCATTGTATTTACCTGTCCTGCACTGATGCTATTTTTAAATGTGTTTTATAGCTTCCTTATCTGAATTCTTTTTTTCTCCACTCCTGACAGTCCACGTTATGCAACTGCCTCTTTCCAGGATTTGGGATAAATTTTTAGGGTCAGGTCCTTAATTCAACAACAGTGATATCAACAGCCTCACACCAGACTTTCATGTGTAAATTCAATCAGAACTGGGATCTATTAACTCACCCTTACCAAAAGCTTCCAGTGATAAACTCTGACCCCAAGAATCCCTTGAAGAGAAGCTGAAGGGCAATGTTGACGGAATCCAGAGATTTTGATCATCCTACAGGCTTCTCTTTATCCCCCCTCCCGCCCGGGGACCTCCATCCTCTCCCCATGCAATGGTCTGTAGATATTTGGAAAATTACAACCTGACACTGACAGTTATTTCAGCTGGGCAGGGGAGGAGATGGCTTCACAAATGGATCAATACTTCAAACCCTGGTACTGCACTTATATCCACTTGAGTGAACTAGTTACTTCAGCCATGGTGACTGGGCTCAATTACACACAACTACTCTACCACTCTCCTTCCCTGCACCTCAGCTAAACTCTTTGCTGAAACACAGACCAGCGGTTCTGGTCTCTCATGGCCTTTTGGAAAGTCTTGCACAAGCCTTGCAGAATTATTGAGTGCATGACTCTGAATGTAAGTGTTAGAAATAGCTTCTAGTCAGTTACCAGGAGACAGTATCACACAAATGTTCACTTAACAAAGAGTTAATAGCACAAACCCATTGCAAACAGTATGTGGAGCACTTCTGAAACACTTTCTAAAGCCAAAGCCATTAAGCAGTAAAGTTACCTCTACTCCTTCCTGCAGAGATTCTAACAACTCTGCTGCTGGCTTTCAATATACAGGCATGACATGAAAGTTTGGTTTGTAATATTTTTATTTTTTGGCATAACATTCACACTTCTGTACCTTAGTACGCACACATCAACCACAGGTGCTGAACCCACTCAGACCTGCTCGGGAAGCACAGTTGACCCACACTGAGTTGTAGCCCAGGGCCCAGTCTGAGTGTGGGAGAATTGAGGGATTCCATCCCATGAGCGGGAAGGCTACAAGGCCTGACATTTTGCACTCAGAGACCAGAGTGGGAGAAGAGATGCCTGTAGCCCTGTAAATATAGTAACTATAGGGCAAAAATATGCCCTTCGGACCTGTTACCACAAAGCAATGCAGCTCTGAATTCCTGTGTTCACAATCAAGCCAGAGAAAAAATGCTTTGGAAAATGCATTTTCTGATTACATTTCCAGGAGCAAATAAACCCAAGTAAATTTGGGAACTAGTCACTGACATTCTGTGGGGTCTCCTGTCACTCAGCTCCTGGCAGAATTGAGCCCAGAGCACAGGGCACCTCTGGAAATGGGACCCCTAGAGAAATCCTGACTTGGGTCATCAGGCTTTTAACACTCCAAGCTCCAGTTTCTGTGTAACCGGAATAACCCACTGAGCACCTTGCTGCCTGTCCTCCTGCCGCTCTTACAGAGTCACTCTGACAGCCCGGCTGACTTCACTGCAGTGGCACAGAACATCTGCCAATGTAAACAGCTTGCAGCCTTTCCCCTTCACTTCACATCATAAAGATAGGTTTCAGAGGAACAGCCGTGTTAGTCTGTATTCGCAAAAAGAAAAGGAGTACTTGTGGCACCTTAGAGACTAACCAATTTATTTGAGCATGAGCTTTCGTGAGCTACAGCTCACTTCATCAGATGTATACCGTGGAAACTGCAGCAGACTTTATATACACACAGAGAATATGAAACAATACCTCCTCCCACCCCACTGTTACCAGCAGGACAGTGGGGTGGGAGGAGGTATTGTTTCATATTCTCTGTGTGTATATAAAGTCTGCTGCAGTTTCCATGGTATACATCTGATGAAGTGAGCTGTAGCTCATGAAAGCTTATGCTCAAATAAATTGGTTAGTCTCTAAGGTGCCACAAGTACTCCTTTTCTTTTATCGTAAAGATAGTGAAACTTGCCAACGTACCCAGTTCCTGCTAGAAGGGGAGCCGCTGACACCAGAGGTCTTCACCCTAAAGGACACGGAGTCATCGGAGAGGTGGCACAGGCGGCAGGCAGTCTCTGTTCAGACAGGGATGCAGGTGTCTTTATGAAACATGCCGGCACAGTCCCCTGGGGGCCACTTGGCCCTCAGAGAATCTCTGCTGCTTGGCTTTGCGTGCAGCAGCTTTAACCCATGTCACAGCCAATGGCAAATTGAAGGAGGCCAAATGATAGGGGACGCGTGGTGATGTTACCTAATTGGACTGTAGCACCAGCCCTGCTGCAGGCTCTATTCTTAGAATCCAGGCTTGTCGTCACTGTACAAATGGTGCCGATTAGTGACATGGCTCCCTCAAGGGTGGCTGAGTGGTAATGATGATGCCGTCACAGCTGTGGTCTTGCTGAAATAAAATACAATAGAATAATAACATGGGGCCTGATTACTCCCTGACAGCCCCCTTTTCAGCATTACAAACCCAGGGTGCAGGCCAGGGAAGGGAAGGGAGATTCCAAAAGGTTCCTCTCATGGAAATTTCCCTCAGTTCTTTCCAGTAGGGGAGGACCCTTCCCTTCTCCATGAGGAACAAGGAATAAGAATGAGGATTTTCGAGGGGTGTGTGGGAGTCTCACGGGGATGCCAAGTCATTGCAAAGAATGGAGTAACAGACACAGGAGCCTCATCTTAGATGGTCTGGCTGGCAGAAAGCAGTCTGAGGGCAAAGGTCAGCTTCACACCTTGACCCTGTGACACACTGAGCACAGAGCACTGTGGTGACAGGGCCCAGGCTCACATGGGTTTCAGCAAGAGTTGCTTCCACAAGGAATGGGCAAATAGATGGAAAGATGGCCTCAGAGACACAGGGAAACAAGGCTGGATCGGAGCCAGGGTGTAGCCATGGGTGGGCCTTGGGGGGCCAGGGGCCACCCATTTAGCATCTAAGCCCAATCCACCAGCTGGGACTCCTGATTCCAGCTTGGTGCCCAGCTGTATCCCTCTCCAGCTGGTGCAGAGCGCTGATTCCCTGGTCTCTTGCCCCAGATGGGGGTGTGCCTTGTGGGGGTGGGTTTGGGCCAGTAGTGGATTAGCCACTAGTCCTGGGCCAATGGTGTCACCCTGCTCCATTCCACCCACCTTCCTTTCCTGAGGTGAAACAAGGTCCGGGTGCGGGGGATTGCCTCTCCCTCCACCTGGCTGTCGTAGAGTGGGTCAGGGCACTAGAATAGAGCTGGGCAGTAGGAATGCGGCAAGTCCAGCATCTCAGAATTGCTGTGGGGGGGAAGCAGAATAAGCCCCCACCACCTCACCACTTGCCCTGACCTCACTCCCCGGCACTAGCACTGGGTGCAAACCCCTTCACCCTTCACCCCATTTCCCCAGCAGGAGAGGGGCTTCAGAAGGGATGGAGAGGGCACCTCAGTTTTTCTGGTTGAGCCAGGGCCACACAAAACCCTAATCTGCCCCTGTAGGGGGCGATGGGGCTCCTGAAAGGTGGGCCCACACAGTTTTCCTGTTCTAGCTACATCACTGTTCCCAAGATCCCATTGGCTTCCCAAAAGAATGTAAATTGGATCATTTCTGTTTCTTTATCTCCAGAGCAAAGCCTGTCTAACTTAGCTTGTAGTGATATAGGAGCAGGGCCGGATTAACTCTTCTGGGGGCCCAGGGCTATTAAAATGTGTTGCCTCCTGTCATAAATATAAAGGGAAGGGTAAACACCTTTAAAATCCGTTGTGGCCAGAGGAAAAACCCTTTCACATGTAAAGGGTTAAGAAGCTAAAGGTAACCTTGCTGGTACCTGACCAAAATGACCAATGAGGAGACAAGATACTTTCAAAGCTGGAGCGGGGGAGAAACAAAGGTTCTCTCTGTCTGTGTGTTGCTTTTGCCGGAAATAGAACAGGAATGGAGTCTTAGAATTTAGTAAGTAATCTAGCTAGATATGGGTTAGATTTTGTTTTGTTTAAAAGGCTGATAAAATAAGCTGTGCTGAATGGAATATATATTCCTGTTTTTGTAACTTAAGGCTTTGCCTAGAGGGATTCTCTATGTTTTGAATCTGATTACCCTGTAAGATATTTACCATCCTGATTTTGCAGAGGTGATTCTTTTACTTTTTACTTCTACTAAAAGTCTTCTTGTAAGGAAACTGAATGCTTTTTCATTGTTCT